AGGCCGCAGAGCAGGTGGCCTGAAAGACAAGGCCGAGATGCTGCTCCCAAAGGGGCCATCATGGCTCAGTGGGCAGTAATCCCAGCATTGACATGGGGCATAGGCCCTTGGGGAGGGTGGAAGAACCCCAAGTGACTGGGGCCACAGAGTAAACCTTCAGCATGGACTCTGTGCACATTTCTATCAGAGCCATCAACACCCTCTGCTATGGACAGGAAAACATCCAAATAGCCTGAGGGCAGTGCTCCAACTGGGGCTAACAGAGCTCCATCCTTTTGTGGGTTTGTGCTTACTAGGAAGAGGAGGCACTAATGCATCACCCCCTCTAATGCCCCCTGTGTCATTCCATCCAGAATAGCAGGGTTACTGCTGAGGAACTGTTCTAAGAAAAGAGTCACCCCGGGTCAGGAGGAGGAGGGAAGGTCAGGCTTGGCAGAGTTCAGATCTTTCTTCCTGAGTATGCATACTCGATCACCAGCCCCTCGAGGAACAAGGAAGAGGATCAGCCCTGAAAGGGCTCAGCCACACAGAAACTCGATGTTTCTACTCCTGACAAGATTCATGATGGAATGCCAACTTCAACACATTTAAAATGTTAATCTGATCCCTATAGAAAGGGAACGTTTGGGAGACCAGGAAAGAAGTGATTCTCATCGGATATTTCCAACCAACCGAGAGAAGGAAGAGCAGAAGAAACAATAATTATGAGTGAAGGCCTTTCACTGACAGGAATGCACTGCAGTCGCTGTGCTGGCAGACAGGTGCCTTGACTGAATCATCCACAGGCAGCTCCCCGCCAGCCTAGGGACCAGCAGCTTTGACATTGGGTCCACGTTGTTCCTGGGCTGGCTTCACTGGGTTCCAGCGTCACTGTTTTGAAACCTTTTCCTCTACCTCCCTCTAGTGACTCAAAAGTGAAAACACAGAAGCAGAGCAAGGAGCCCACTTTGTTAAAATACACAGAGAACCCTAGGCTGGACCCTCAGGGGACTGGGCAATGGAGCAAACTGTCTGTTTCATGGCACACCATTTTCACATTGGCTATTATCTATGTCATCAGCTGCCCTTCTGAAATTGTCTCAGAATACTAATAATGAGATATTTTTAATTTGCAGAAAATAAATAAGAAATATTGCCAGGTCAGGATGTGTCGGGAGTGCAGATATGATCTCAAAGTCAGGCCTGGCAAGACTTTTTTGACACACAGCTTGCTTTCTTCCTAGAAATGCAGGTCACAGGAGTTTCAAGTGCCCAGATGGGCCTGTCAGGGTGTAAGACACACTGATGACTGTGGTCAGGGCTGCACAACCACGGCTCTACTTTCTGCCAAGCTCCACAGGTCCACAGACTCTGCAGGCACAAATCAGCCTGCACAGAGGCAGGTTGACAGTGTCACAGTCAAATGCAGCATGTTCTTATGGAGCACCTGGGGCTGCAGCGTGGAAGAGAGGGAGGACTGAGCCCTTGTGGCTGATGTGTTGGGTGTGAAACATGTGGCTCACAAGGGAGGATGAATACTAACTTCTGCTGCATGGAAGTCCAGAGGGCTTTGAAAATGAGCACTTGGCGGTGAGGATCCTTCAGGAGAGAGGAGGAGATTGAGGAAGCACGGTGGAGGGGTGGAGGTCTTACCAGAGGCCTAAGCAGGACAAGACAGAAAAGCCTGCATGGGACAGACACAGAGACAGTGGGGAGAACCTGCAATATTGCAGCTCTGGCCACAAGCACAGGCTGGTGTTTCACACAGTAGGGGTGTGTGTGTGTGTGTGTGTGTGTGTGTGTGTGTGTGTGTGTGATCACCCTGGCATTGTCCTTGGATGTTCTCTGTTGTGTGTCGTGCTATAGTGTCACCGAATAAATGCATTTGAGGGCATTCCTACATCTGTATATCTACCAATTATCTATCAGGTATGTTCATGTGCACCTTCCTAAGACTTCAGAGAGACATAAGTACCTTCATGGCAATACTTACAATCAGGTCATGGAGAAGGTGCAGATACATCCATGATAGCAGCGTGAGGTGATAAGACCAATGATAAAGAGTAAACACAGTAGTTTTGTCAACTCAGAGACACAACCAGACTGGGCGGGAGTGGTGCGAAGTCATGCCAGCTGGCAGTCTGCCACAGCATGTCAAGAAAGGCCAAGGACAGTGAGACTGACTTCCAAGCCAACCTCCAGAAATTGCAACAATGGAACTTGAATAATTCCAGAATGTTAAAGTTAGTATCCCCCTTAGTAACCTCCACGAAGTTAGCACTGCCCTGCTTGCTGCAGCCTGAACAGGGCAGACAAGGTCCTTCCTTGACAAACCCTCCACTGGGGGAAGGGGAGCAGGAAGGCACAGTCACCATGAGCAGGCTTGCAGGAGCTCCTGGAGGGAAAGAAACAGGGTGATGTGTGAATTGTCCAGAGGACAGGCTGGGAATATGCTGGGTCCCTCTGAGGCTCTGGAGCACCAAGTCAGCTCTGAACGAGAGGAGGCAGCCTCCTGAAGGATCAGGAGAAGTGGTGTGGGAATGGCAGCCTGATGAAGACAGAGTGGAACAAACTGGGAGAGAAGGTGGGAGCAGTGGAGGACTATAGAGCAGAGATTTGTGTTAAGCACAATGAAAGCAACTGGAGGAATTCAGTAGCACAGGACAGACTCTGGCTTACATTTGAAGGCACCACCCAGGCAGCTGCTCAGGAAGGTGGCTTCAGGAGTGTCAGGTTAGAGGGGATATCGAGATCCCCAGGACTCTCTGCAGCAGCTCCTGCAGAGGGTGGCAGTGGCACAGCACAAGTGCATTTGAGTTGCAACAGGGTTTGCTGACAGATCGGAGGAGGGTGAGTGAGGAAGAAGGAATTCACTTGGATTCACAGGCATTTTGGAGATCGCCCTGGGTGAGCCATGGTGCCACTTACTGATGTGGATTTTTTTTTGGGAAATGGGTTCAAAGGGAACAGGAAGTGAGTTGAGGTTTGGCAGAAGGGAGGTGGGCAGTTTGCTGTTCTCCAAATTGCTAATATCGGGCAGTGCTCAACCAGGGCCAGAATGAAACGGTACTGGTCAGCCCAGGGCTGTGTTATGGGCTCCCTGAGGCTGCAGAGGGTTGAGGTACAGCAGGGCAGGGTCCTGCTCTGAGTCTGCACTGGTGTCCTTCTTGATGGTTTTCAGGGAAGAGGCAGTGCTAACTGTTTACAGCCAGGGCTGATGAAGGAGAGAACAGAAGGTCGCAGCTTTCCATTAAACATGCATCTTCACTAATCTCTAAAAGAACACAGAAAGAATGGGTTTGCAGCATTTAAAGCCAAGAGATATGCCAGGCACCCTACCTCCTTTTCGTGAATGATAGCGTGCAGGCAGGGATGACAGGTGATTTTTGAACACCAGACACTTGCTTGGAGCCCAAGTATGATGCTTAGTCCTTGGGTATTTCCTCACCCCACTGAGCTGCTGTACTTGACCTTGAACAGCGGTCATGGCTTTGCTGATCTCCTGGGATACAGGATCTAGATGAAGCAGGAAAGGCCCCTCCTTTATCCACAAACATGCTATCCACAGGTGTCCATCCATAAGATAATCTAGTTCTCTTAAGCAAACTATACAATGACTAAACAATAAAATTGAACACGAATATAATAATGTGACCCCAAGGTTTAAAATCATCTTGACACGACTAAGGAAGAACATCCGGAAGTTTGATTTTGTCAACAGCAATAATAAAACAACCTATGAAATCTTGACTGGTTTTCATTTTATAAATTAACCAGCAGAGGGAGCGCTAGTTCCATTTTTCTTTTCCCCAAAATAATTTAAAAGTGCCCAGAAAAATCCAAACCCACTTGATTATATCCGTGGTCAATTACCACCCACACAGGCAGTGGGATCTTTGTGGACGGCAGTGAGTCCGTGTATCCCTCGGGTGAGGGATATAAGCTGTGTTCCACAGGGCACATTGATGCGGGCAGGGGCTGACAGCCCTTTGGACTACTTGAATTACTACGGTGAGGCCACATTATTTAACATGGAAATTCTTGTTAATATTTAAAATGCTTGTTTTTTAAAAAATGATCTGTTTTCTTTAAAGGCTAAACATTGGTAATTTGGGTTGTTTGTTTGTTTTGTTTTGTCCTATTTGATTTTCAGTCACTATGGACTGAATCCAGGACCTTAATTCTGAATTTCATCCCCAGCCCTTTATAATTATTTTGCTTATTTTATTTATTCTTTTTTTTTTCAGACATGGTTTCACTAAGTTGCCCAGGTGGGACTTGAACTTACAGTCCTCCTGCCTCAATCTCCCGGAGTGCTGGTTTGGTTTGATTATTTACCAAAAAAAAAAATAATAATAATAATAATCAGCTAAATTAATATTATTTGCTTGTAGCCTACTTTTAATTGGTAAGTTTGAACTTTTAAAATGCAGTGTTTTTTTCATGCTGTGTTCTCGGGGAGTAAACTATTCTAAGTTAATAAACAATCAAATTTCCAGAACTCTACTTCATATCTCAGTGGTGACCAAATTTCCCCTGGGGAAACTTTGTGGTCTCCAAATTCTGATTAATTTTCATCTTCTGTACGACATTGTGTTGGTAGACACTGGGTAGTGTGCATTTCCAGAACTTACAGAACCACTCAGCAGAAAGAGCAAGTGCTGCTGTGATAATGCATCGGCTTGGGTTTACTAATTCTCACCAATGGACTCCCAAACTGAGATAATAACATCTGCAGAAAAGGAGAAGAAAATGGCAAAGGAATCCTTTACTTCACATGAGATTAGGAAGATGTGGAAAATGTGGAAAACAGCGCAACATGTTGTAGAAAAGCATCACCCGAGTAAGGCTAGAGTGCACAATGAATCTGTTCAATGACAATGCAGTGTCACATTTCTACAAAACCCTCAGCAGGGAGCAAAAGCAAGTGTCATTAGATAGGTTCCTTGTTTTGTTTGTTTGTTTGTTTTGTTTTGTTTACTTTTTGTACCTGGGATCAAACCCAGGACCTTTTGCTTACAAGGCAGGCAGCAAAACCACTGAACTAAATCCCCCCCGGATGGGTTCCTTGCTTAAGCTGCATGAAAAGAAAAAGATTCCACTGAGCCTACAGAGAGCAGAGTCCATTCGTGATAGTGAAAGTCATCTACACAACAACACTCTTGTCTCTTATCACTCTCACACCAGCCACAAAGGTTTTCAAAGGTAAGTGCTGGTTAATTCGTTTATTTTTCTTCATATTTTGTATCTTCTTATTACTTTGAATTATATTACAGTACTGCAATCATTTTATATGAATATTTTGGGGTTGCTGAACAAATCATCTGAGTTTTCATTGTTTTTTATGGGGAAATTCAGCCATCATTTCAGGCAATTTCACTCCAAATGTATAAGGATATTTCCAACACATGTTCTTTCTACCTGCCAAACTCACAGTCTCTGCAAAACTATTCAGGATAGACATGGGAAAGGACCAAAGCTCTGAGGCCAGACAAACTTCGCAGCTGGGCTGTGGAAGTCACTCAGCTCAAATGTTCAGGGATGCATCTTTTCACTCTCTGCTCTCTGGGAATCAGTGCATCTGCCTGTCAACCCCAGCAGTCTTCTTAGACCTCATGTTTCTCACTTGGGAATTATTCTGTGCCTGCAGTGACCCATGTTAGAGGAGGAAGATAGAACTTTGAGAGCCCCATCTGCCACCCCAAAGCCACCATCCTCTCATCCTCGGCCAGCACAAACCTTTACAGGAACAAGCAGCAGCCAAATACACCCCAGAAATTACTTGGAGACATCTGTGAGCATCCGTGCAGTCCACCCAACCCATAACAGTAGCTACAACCACTGTCTTCATCAACTATAGCACCACTCATGTACTCCTGCCCGGAGACCCAGAACACCACCAGGACATGATGCTCTGGATCTCATGGAACATGACCTCATCTGATGGTACAGTTAGAGGGGGGACTGGTCTAACTCATCTAATCACATTGGGCCCCTGTCTCTGGGGCACACAAACTAGGACTCTCTTGGGAGTCTCAAAAAGCAGGTGACAAGACAAAGGAGGCTTTCTGAGATTGCTGGATGGGCCGGCTTTCTGAACATACTTGGCTGGAGACCCATAAGTGCCAGGAGCCAGGGACCCTAGCCACCCCTGCATCAACCTCCTCCTTTCCAGCTGTCTTTTCCCTCTGCTAAGTTAATATTCTGAGCTTGTTCATTTTCCAGGATAGAAAGTTTAACATCTTCATTTCATCCTGGTCCTTCCACGACTGGTAGCAAGAGGCTGAGTGGGCTTGGAGACCCAAGGTCTACACCCTCTGGGATGGTGCAAGGAGCTCTAGGAAGGAGAAGACATGGGAACAGGTGAGTGGCCCTGGGCCCTACCACCTGGATCCCACTTCTGTTCTCTCTTCTCAGCAGAACTGTTGCATATGCTCCCTCTCTCCCCATTTTATTGTGTCTGGAAAGTTGAAAACAGAAACAACGTATTGATTTCTCCTGATGCTATTTCTAGGCTTCATTTAAATCATACCTTTTCTCAGAATGATGATTTCTGCCTTCTGTTCAGGTTAATTCTGAAAAACAACATCTAATAAATGTTATTTGCTTGCACTTTTTATGTCTTCAGTTCTCAAGCTGTTTTCTCCGCTGCACTTATGGATTGTGTGGAGGTTTTTTATTTTGGTTTTTGTTTTTCCCTCTTCCAATAGTGAGCTTTTCTCCCTTAAAAAAAAAAGTATGGGGTTTTAAGACAAGAGCTTTACAGAGAAATGCAGAGTGGGTGGAACAGGAGTGCTGCCATGGTCTGAGGGGACCGAACCTGTTCTTGCTGAGCGCTGTTGGCTGTGTGGCTCATGGTGAGGTGCAGCCACACACCCTACTACCACACACTGGTACCTCAGTCTTCTGTAAACTGACTCCCTCTGCAGCCCTGCCCTGGTCTCTGCAGCCTTCAGGCTCCTGCATTGGCCAAGTTCCACACAAGCCACTGGAAAGCTTTTATGTGAAGGGCTAGATCACAATATCTGAGACTTTGAGTCGCATGCTCTCTCCTGCAGTTCTTGCCTTTGCCATTGTAACATCAGAGAAGCTGCTGATATTGCACGACAATGAGCAGCACTTTACACCGTCAGAGAGTGGGCTGCCGTGGATCTACAGGCTGTTGGTTTGCCGGCCACGATCTAAACACACGGTAAAAGACCGCAGATGAATTGAAATATAAAAACATTAATGTGTGCTGTTCCTTGAATGCATCCCACCCCCTGGGTCTCATGCGCTGCTCTCCCTCCAGGCCCCGTCTATCAGCCTCTGTACCTGGCAGCTTCTGTGACCCTCAGAATTTGGTGTGGCACTGACCTCCTCCTCCAGGCTCTGTTCCTGACCGTAAGTCTCCAGTGTAAGTTGATTCGCCTGCTGCCTACACTCATGGCACCCTTCACTGCCCAGGGCATGGTCCTGCCTGCCCTGGACCTGCTGCTCAGTCCCCATCTTCTCCTTCCACTCACATTCCCAACCTTCTAGCAGAGGATGCTACACAAATTTAAATTTGGAAATGAGTACATGAAAGGATAAATGGATGGAAATCCTCAAGTGAATCAACTAAAACTTTTACCTATATAAACCAGTGACTAAATTTATAATTAAAACAAAAAACTATACGCTTTTTCTCCCAGCTTCTTCGTCACAGACATAGGAAGAAAGTGGGAAGGATTTGTCCACTGGGGAAGAATTATTGTTTTCTTAAACCTCAAACTCTAAAGGATGAAAATGATTTGTGAGCAGAATCTCTAGAAGCTGAGAATTGGGAATATAAATAAAGCTAAAGAAAAAAATCTCTTAAGAACCAAATAAAATGAATGCTAGGGAAATTGTGTCTTAGTCTTATAGAGCTGCTACAATAAAATACCACCAGCGGCGGTTTTTAAGTAAGAAATGTCCACTTCCAACTGTTCTGGAGCTGCAGACCAGGAGGAAGGCACAGCAGCTGGCATTAGGCTCGGGTGGCACATGCACTGGGGAGCAGCCCTCCACACCCTTGCCGGCCCCTGGTAGCTGCGTCTTTTCCATGATGTCCATTCCAACTGTGATATCTCATTATGGTTTTGATTCACCTCTCCCAGATGATCAGTAATGCTGATCATTTTTCATGCACATTTGGCTATTTGTCTGTCTTCTTTTGAGAAATGTCTATTTAGATTTGTTGCCCATGTTGCAATTGGGTTATTTAGGTTTTTTGCTATTGAATTCTTGGAGTTCCTGATGTATTCTGGATGTCAAAACCTTCTTATATGTGCATTTTCAAAAATATTTTCTCCCATTGTTGGTTGTGTATGCCCTCTGTTGATTGTTTCCTTTGCCGAACTGAAGCTTTGAGGTTGACATGATCCCATTTTTTTAATTTGCCCTTTGATTTCCTATGCTTTGGGGTCTCATCCAAAAAACCCTTTGCCATTCCAAAGTGGTGAAGCATTTCCCCTATGCTTTCTTCTGGTAGTTTCATAAGCTTAGATCCTTCACTTAAGTATTTGATCTATTTTGAGTTTATTTTTTCTCTTTATTTTATGAAAAAATAAACAAATTTCATAACCAAATAATGAGAATAACAATAGTTATTACACTGTGTATTGTTATCTTCAAAGTAGTGACTCAGTACAAGATATAAACCACAATCAATTCTTATTTAAAAACTGAATAACACCACACTTCCTATTAAACAACAGAATAGCACCCTCAAATGACACAGTCTATTGCTTTTTAAACTTTCAATATTTATGCTCATGTGTGTCATTTATACTAATAGTTTATCTTAGCTTGCTGTTGGTTTTTTTTGTTTTGTTTTGTTTTTGTTTGGTTTTTTGTTTGTTTGTTTGCCTTTTCTGATACCGGTGAATCAAACTCAGGACCTTGCACTTACCAGGCAGACATGGCACCACTGAGCTAAATCCCCAGCCCTGAGTTGCTTTATTTAATAGATGAAAGAAAGGTCTTGTCTTCATTCACTATTATTCTGATACTCAGCTCCCAGAGCAGGATGAGCTTCCTCCTTGACATTGATTCTCTCAGATTCCCTAAATCTTTCCTTGGCCTGAGAGAGAAACAAGGTGTGCTGCTCACGATGCAAACCCTCTAACCAACACAGTAAGAGACATGACAGTGGTTTGACAACTCCGAGGACAGTTGCATCAGAAAGCATTAGAGGAGGCTCTGTGGACAAGTGGCCATTTCAGTTAAACCCTAAAAAAATAGCTAGGATTTAGATACAGAGTGGGGTTGAGCAAGGTGGCTGTGTGAACAAAGACGGGAGGCAGGAAATCTTGGAAGATTATAAAGGATATTTCAAAGAACGCATTCCACTGAGACAGAAAGTATATGAAAGGAAGAAAGGATTAGTAAAGCTGGGAAACCAGGCCCATGATGGCTTAAAGGCTGGCCAATTTATGGCCAGCAAAAAACTTTTTTCTATAGCCTGGTGAGGGAGGAAGGTGGCAGCTCAGCTCATTGGACCTCACTGTACTGGGTACCTGGAGCCACAGAGCTCTCCCAGGGCTGCCGTGCTGGGAAAGCACTGGAGCCTCAGGGCGTTCCAAAACACTGTGAAAGTCCCTACAACCTGGTTAAGTCATAGGACCTACATTTTTGAATCTTACTACCAAAAACAATGTTTTCTATTTCAACCATGCCATCAAACCTAATCAGACAATAATATGAAATTCTATTCACAATGGGTGAAAGTCAGAAACACAAGAAATAACTTTGTAAGAACTGAAATGATGAAAATTATATAGATAGAGGCTGGGGGAAGGAGGGAGGGAGGGAGGAAAAAATATAAATTCAATGGAGATTAATAAAAATTATGGAGTTTCCATCTTTCTCTAGTTATTTTGTCTTGCAAACATTGCCTAAATTTAGAATTTTTGTTTTAAATTTACCTTTACTTAATGTAAAGTGTGTGTGCAAGAATAAATAGACAGGAAAACTGGAGGGGGAAGCTAACAACAAAAAGGTACTAGCTATGCTTAAAGATAATTAGAACAATAGGGTAACAGATAAAAGCACAGCACAGGTGAGACAGAAGTGCAGCCCAGATGACAGAAAACAAGATAACAGGGGACACATGTGTGTGCAGTAGTTGCACCAAAAACCCAGAAGATTACTCAATAAATGCTGATTTGAAAATTTGCCAGATAATTGGAAAATAGTTATTTTTCTGGTGTTATATATCTTTATATTTTCAATTAAATAGCTTAAATAATAAAAATAATAGAAAAATCTAGGCTAAAAATTAGTTAAATCTTGATTCAGATTTCTGTAGAACAGCTTTCTAGTTATAAATGCAATGAAAGAATTCCAAGGTGAAATATTATAATAGAAAAATGAACTTGGAAAAGTATATTTCCATGAATATGACAAAAAAAGACTGTTGATGTGTTTCATATATAAAGAGATACAGTGGCAAATCAGAAAAAGCAAAAAAAAGGTACCTCTACTAACTGCTATTATAAAAAGACTATTCATAAAAGAGGAATACAGATTAGATAACAGATTTACATAACAATCAACCTGATACTAATCAAATAAATAAAAATCAAAACAGAATTATTGTCCAATGAAATCAACATAAATATCAAGCTAGGTAATCGCTGTTATGGATAAATGTAGTAAAGTGGTCACTCTAAGTGCTAATGGAACTTCTTTAAGTTGTGTGACTTTTTCCCCCTGGAAAACAATTTGCAATATGAATTAAAGAACAAAGATTGGCACCACTTATTTTTTTAAAAACTGTATGCAGCAGAAAGCCTTATACAAGTTGCTTTTCCTTCTTTCCTTCTTTTTTCTTTTGTTCCTCAGCTTCTGTTACTTCTATATGGAATCTTTGACAAAGAAAGGCCTCTCTTTGGACTACAATTTGGAGGCAGTCGCTTGTCGTGCCTGCTTTCCTAAAAACAATGTGGATATCAAGCCCTCCAAATTATCTGCTTTAATACTGAACCTAGAGCTTTTTTCCCCTCCCATTCACTCCACATAACTGCCCTTAGCATTTCAGTTCTTTATATTTTGTCGAAGGTGACACTTCAGCATGCCGTGACAGTGCATTTTACAGTACTGCATAAGTGCTGCGCTAACAGTAAGCCATTTCTCAAGTTTTTTGCCTTGATTAGGGTGCTCTAATTTGAGGGTTTAAAAATTATATTTTTGTTAATTATAAAGCTGTAAAGACCTACAAAAGCTATTCCCATTTGGTTAGTCAAAGGGATTTTATTGCTAAAATTGACACCCTTTTCCATTTTGGTGACAGATTTCTTTGGGGGAAAAGGCAGATATCTGTTTTACAAATGCAGAGATTTCTGCTTATTGAATGAAGCATGTCTCAGTGTTTATCTGACAGGTTTTGAAACATTTCATATGTGTCCAAATACTTGGCAGGATTTTTTAAAATAGTGAATTTGGTGTAAAGTTGCTATTTTATGGAAATGCCTCTAACTTTACATTTTCATTCCATTTGTAGATTTTTCTATCTTTATAAAATATTGGAGTTATTTTTAAGGAAAAACACAGAAGTAACTTGTGAGTAGCTGAAACTGAGTTTACAACTGCATGTTTAAAAAAAGCAAAAGAGTTATTTGTGTCTGTTTATATTGCTTCCTTTTTGTAGCCTTTGTACCTGTATAGGGTGACATTAAGGGCCAAGCAGGAGAGGTATAATCCTTGTATAAAATAGGAGCCAGCAACACTGTTGTATTTATCTGTTCTCCTTTTAGTCAATTACTTCAAAAAACAAACAAAAAAGCTGTACATTTTAACATAAAATAAGTTATGATGAGCCATAAAAAAAATGAGATTGGACTCACCAACGGCAGTGGTTTAGGTGTGCGTCCCTGAAGGTCCGCGCATGAGGCTTGGTCCAGGGTAGGGAAATGATGCTAGGGACCTTGCAGAGGTGGTGTGGCCGGAGGCCTAGGCCTCTGGGGTATCCTCTTAGAGGAGCAGTGGGAGCTGGGTACTCACACTCCACGCTTCACAGGATCAAGTGTCGGGCCAGGGCTCAGGCCAGAGTCAGCAAGTGTGGAGTCTGCCCTGCCCTACCCAGGGCAAGCCCCACTTTACTCCAGACCTAACCTTCTTGGGATCTGTACAGTGATGCTAGGGTAACTCACATGCCCCTGACTGAGAGATTCATTTCGGGGACTTCTCCATGGAAAAGCAAAGGTGAATCGGTGTTTTGTGTGTTTGAACACTGACTTGTCTTCAGCGGCTCTCGAAGAGGACCACACACCCACCCACACTGTCTGCAAAAGGGTTGCTGTAGTGCTCACTCCTGACTTCATCCCTGGCCACACTCACAGCCATCACAATGTCACCTCACATGATGCTGGATCTGCAGCAGCCTTGATTTTTATAGAAAGCGCCAAGGCCTTAGTACCAATGACTTCGGTATTCACCACTGGTCTCTTCCATCCCCCCATTGTCCGTGCTTCGCCAAGTGTCTGTGTGTCCCTCCCTATTCCCCCTGCCGTCCCCCATGAACACCTTTGTCGCCAGTCTCTTCACAGCCTAACCTATCACATCGCTGTTTCTCCTTCTGTTTCTATCGCCCTGTTTGATTTTTGTCTTTCTTTCCATTTTACCAATGTTACCCTGTTAAAAAGAAATCCACAAAATTTTTAGTTAACTATCAAGGTGGTTTTATTTTCTCTCAGCAGGTTAAACACATAACATTTGAAACAAATATCAAGAAAAAAGTTTCCATTGGATTAGGTAAATTTAGAATAAACATTCTCATTTCCATTATTTCTAACAGTATTACATCATTTATAATAGTGTTTTGATCAGCTTCCAAAGGCTCATGAGATCCTCTGAAAAAGAAAGTAAGTTATAGCATAAGAAAGTATTAGCAAACTCCAGGAATATAATTGTCAAAGCTGTCCCTGAAGGAGAGAGCAAAAAAATCAAAGCCCCGGAGAAACAGATGAGGGCCCAAGTGACGACCCATTGTCCCCACTCATGGGTCTGCACACCAAGAATTTGAGACTCAGGCAAACATTCTGAACAGCTTGGGAAGGGAATGAAATGAGCAGGCTTCAGAGGGCTCACATCAACCGTGAAATAGCTTTATGGGAAATGTCTGTTATTCTTTACAGGCTACTAACACACAGGAGAAACAAGAACAAAAACATATGAACATCTAAGAAAAATCTGAAAGCTGGTCATATTATTTGATTATAATATTACTAATATGCATAATGCAGTATTAGTGGCCTTAGAAAGGAAAGAAATCCTGCTGTTTCCAACAATGCAGTTGAACCTTGAGGACAATGTAAGTGAAATAAGCCAGGTATGAAAAGGTGAAGGCTGCACAGCCTCTCTTCCACGTGGGATTTGGGTACAGAGAGGATGGTGGCTATGGGGTCTGAGCATGCGGGAAGAGAGTCTCACTCACAGAGTGCATCCCCTCAGCTATTGGGGAAACCTCAGGAGACC